AGATAATTACTGGTACTGTTACTACTGTACCGTCTAAGAACTCGGATGGCTATACACAGGCAGGGCCTGAAACACACAACTCGTTTATCCACCCAGTGCATAACCACCCAGTTTATCTATTGATAACCCCTATTAGAACGGAATGAATGAATTCGGACTGCCTTAGCCCCTATGTGCTATGGACTATGTGCTTTTTCACCACTGCACTTTCATAACAATCCTACGGCTTTCACTACTACATAATATTTAGTTTAAATTCTCAGAGTAGATATGAAGACATTCATGAACATTTTTCTCTCCAAATTGTTACATCATAGCCTATTTCCAACATGCTAGTAGAAAGTATTCATCACACAGTATCATGATTACTGTGACATATTACACACTAAGTATTATAAGGGAAGATAGTGGTACAGCGAATGCGATTATGGGAGAAACCTTGCCCTTACGACTTACCTAGATAAACAGATTATTACATGAAATCACACAAAAACTAGATTTATGATAACAACACACTCCTTAGAGGGTCCTCGGGACCTACGAGATATTTCTTGCCTTCTCAACCTTGACCCCCTTCATGGGTTTATCTCTAAAAGAAGACTATATATTCCCCTGGCCATCCACAGGGATAACCCTGAATCGAAAATCATGGCCGAAAGTATGTGCATAGATTGGCTATAGTAATAATTTCATCAAATAAAACTAAAGATCAATCAACTCAATATTATTATTAATAATTTATTATTACATAATACTACGTAATATACGTGTAATACTACATAATATACGTGTAAATCCGAATTTACGTGGGGTAATAATCTCATTTGTGGGCGTAGGTTTGTTTTTTCCGGCATTGTTTCTTATTTCCCTTGGCAGGTTTTGAAATCACTCACCATGCAGCAATCAGTCCGGATCTTGGTGATCTTAGGCAATTTCCCCTATTTGCACTGTGCAATGTAGACACCAATAATGTGTAACGTTGAAAATGTTATTAGTTCCCGTTATTAGTTAGTACACAAGATACGAGGGAAAGAAAATTGCCTATATGTGCTCCAATACAATATTCACAGGGCAGGAACTAGGGTATAGAAACGGGCTTATTGAGGGCAGTTGTAAAATTCTTACATTTTAAATTAAATTGCACGACCGCATAACAGCTTGTAGGACCGTACACGTTAAGGGCATGCATGCAGTACTCGTGTGTAGTGTGTACCGCCAGGACTTCATTAACACGTTCATGTACTCCCGAAACTATATTTCCCCGCACAGTTTTACGTAAACGTCGCCGTAGTCGCGCTGAGAGGGTCTATGTCCCCCAGGGTACTGCCGGAACGTACCCTGGGTACCCTGGTACTATATAATATGCCGGACCGTACCTCACCTACTCCACTAACGAGTCTAGGCCTACTCCCTAACCCTACCCCTAACCCTAACCATAACCCTAACCCTAACCATATCAAATAGTTACCAGGGTACGTTCCGACAGTACCCTGGGGGACATAGACCCTATGAGCCGTAGTCGCAGCCACATACAGCCTAACAAGCAATTCAGTTCCCGCTGTCCGTGGCCAATAACAAGGGTCCGTACTAGGACATCACATCGCCCGCAGTTGCTAAGAGCTGCGAGCACTTGTCTAGGGCACTCGATTCAACACTGGCTAATCGATCAGATTGTTTATATGGCCGATGAAGGACACTCGTAGGGGGACATCTGGGCACGGGAGGTGTGTGTGTGCACCAACCACCACCACGGTTATCTTCACCCCCGACCCCGGCCTGCCACATCACAGCGTGGTCGCGCCACGCATTGGCAGCATTTTTTCAATGTGGGTCAGTATTCTCAAAACCAGTTTCGCCATCTCCAACCATAAAGCTAGGCAGCAATTTATTTCGCGCGGATTGTGCGCCTGTCACGGCCAGCTATTCGCGTGAATTTTCACTTTCGGTGCGCGCATGCGCAACGACCGCTAGCGCATACATGTAGGCACCCATCGCTGCCGCTGCTGCTGCTGCTGCTACTGCTACTGCTGCTGCCTGCCTCGTGGCTGCAATGCAAGCGCGCACTCGCACGCACCCACTACGGCGGCCAACCAGTGCCTATACCGAATCCCCCGAGGGGCTGTTTATAATGACCATAAGCTCTCCCGTCCACGGCCATTTGTGAGGCGGATAGTAAACAGTAATATCTATTGGACGCACACAGCTGCTTATCTCCCAGTGGCTGAGAAAATGAACTGCTGCAAGAAGAGGCTGAGCGGCAAAGGCCTTCGATTGTTCGGTAGTACGAGGCAGGCGTAAGATCGCATCACCTACTAGTAGCTACTACTAGTCTTCACCAACTACTACAACTTTTGAACAAGGGAGTCCGTTAGACTCCCTGACCTCAAAAAGAGAGAGTCTGCAGCAAAATGAGGGAGTCCGCAGTCTGAAGTTCAAAACTAAAGATAAAACAATAACGTGTGTGCTTATTTTGAAGATTCATGCGGTTGCACGTCTGCCAAATTTTCTTTGAACATTAGCTGAAAAAATACATAATTCCGCGAGGCCGTGCTCTGGAACGAACTAGTTAGTATAGCAGAATTTCCAGGGAGTCACACGGACTCCTGCATATATGTAAAATCAGGGAGTACGGCAGTAAATGAGGGAGTATTTGACTTCGGACTCACACCGTTAATTTCTCACCCTGTCAGGGTGATGCTGATGTGGTGGTGGACAACCGCGGAGGCATCGAGCGAGACGCAGCCCACCGCATCTCGGCCAAGACCCAACAACGCTAAACAATTCCGAAAATTCCTTTGATATTTGGCCTGAGAGTACGTGATATGTCATCAAACACTACATCTACAAATAAACGCTATTCGTTGTTGGTATCTGATATTTTTGTAGCAGTTTTGAGATTCGACAGACATTCGTACCTGCAGGGCCGGGACAGCAACATTAATGCACGCCTATATTATAGCAGATTTATAATATGGAAGCCCCAAGTCTCTGCACTAATGTGATTTGAGACTTAATCCCGAGACATAAAATCGACTAGTCTAGTATAGAAAAGTATCGAAGTACTAGTCATAAAATCGACTAGTACAGAATAGTATCGAAGTAGTCTAGTATCGAATCGACTTAGTCTGTAAATATTCCAATGTGACTTAACTATACTAGGTTTTCTATATGATACTAATCTAGTTATGAAAGCACGGTCGTATAAAGTATTTCTGCTCTAATGCACACGCTATGTGCACCTAAGACATGCAGGTATGTAATATTCGTTCAAGCCCCTACTCGTATCTGCCAAATATACAACTGATACAGCTAGTCACAGGGAAGAAGTCATCATAATAGTGAGGCTAGCCTAACGTCGACAATAGTAGGAATCACTCTACCACTGACTCGCCAAAATAGCCAATTGCCACACTTTTTTTTATCCTGGCTATAAAACATAAGACTGGCTATTTTTTTGGCTAAACGTGACCAAACTGGGTAATTGGCAACTCACAGCAAGCAAAGGTCCATATTTGAAACATACAGACACAAAATGAGTAAAATCGACAATCTATTAATTGTTTTGATTCCCTATATTTTGTTCAAGAAGGTAATTTAGAATAAAGATTGGCTATGTTTTTCGCTAGATACTCTTCAATTTCCCCGAGTAACGCCTGCAATAGGAATGCATAACATAAGGCATATCAATTACCTGGCCCACCTCGTAGCAGGTATACCCAGCAGTAGTTACCAAACAGCAGAGCTCTGTGTAAAGTGTGCATAACATGAATTTACACTTCTGGTCTAAAATTAAAGCCCCTCTACGCATGCCGATACGTAACTGTTCTATAATGTTCTGCACTGAAGCAGATACGGGGGTGCGAGCTTCTCAGCAAGTTGGCCTTCGAATTCTACGTTTGTTTCTATTTCTGTTTGTGAAGGTTTGCTACAGCACGCACGGGCGTTTTTTTGTATTTCTACTGTGAATTAAAATCAAGTGTTTCTCAAAAAAACGTGCTTACGTTTAACGTAAACGTTTTTTGAAACACTTGATTTTATTTTAATGCTGAGGAACACAGAAAAGCAATATATAGGAAGTGTAGAGCTGAGCTGGTGATTTATGCTATGCTATCACGCTCCATTCGTTAGCATGTTATGACAAGAGGATCGGAAAATGTACGACAACTGATGACCGGGGGCATGGTAGTACGTGCTTCCAGACCTACATTCAATTGCTGTGTGTCATCAATAATAACACACGTAAGTTTATATATGAATGAACGCACACAACGCACGTACTACGGGATTACCTTGTAGTAGCTTAACAGAAACATAGAATAAAGGGCTTAACATACGTAGTAACATACGTAGTACATATGTAGTAACAGTACGTAAACATAGAACATTAGAACATTTTCAAATTTTCAAATTTTGCCACATTTCAAATTCAATCGATTGTTTATTATACAAATGCTAAACACCTAGGCAGATCAATAAACTAGTTGGACTAATATTAAATATACAAAACAGGTGATTGTTGCAATAACCTTAACCCTAAAGATATTAGCTTCAACGCACTTTCTTTGTAGCTGTTATATTAGCTGCTTTCTCACCACGGCAATCCTGTCTATAATGAACACACCGACCAAAGATAGTCTGGTTCCTGGATGCCAGCCTGCACGCGATAGTCTATGCAAACCCCTAAGCCGCCACCGCAACTAAAAAAGCCCTGCCAACTTACATCGGTCCAATAAGTGGTTCTTCAGTTTGTGGAAAGGAAACACTCGTGGCGGTATACACTAGACGCAAACCGTTTTTAATTTGCTTCCTCGTCAAGACAATCAACAAGAGAGGGCCGTGTACGAGTACTGGGCATTAGTACAAACATGCGGGGAAGGAGCGTAAGAACGAGAGAGAGAGCGGAGAGAGAGGGGCGAGAGATATACGTGCACCGCCTGTACAACTTCCTCGGCAGCCATGATTGTGTTACAGTGACCTACTTTCTCCTGAAACGAATAGAGCTGCCCATACTGGCTACCCACTAAAAATAGGTGCAAATTTGCCTGGGAGTTCCAATGTCCAAGGCCTCCTTGGCATTGGTAAACTGAATTTACACGTGCACCCGCCGCTGCAACGTGGCGTAAGAGTCAGCTAGAGGTGCCGGCAAGGCAGTCAATTCTTATCAAAATTTTTCTCTTCGTGACGAGTGGTCAATTTACATTCAGTCAGCAGAGTTCTATGTAAACGATCACACGCGTGTCTATCTTTGCTTTGCAAACAACAACTGGCCTAGTGGACTTTCAGTGTATAACTTTGGTATGTTAGCTTTTGCATCCTGATACCAGGAAGCATTCTATAACATATATATATAACTAGATCGGCCCATATGTACGGCAAATATTTCCTATCAATCACTATATATGTTAATCCAATGCCTGTCCAAATGGGAAATACAAACCAAACAGAACTTTAAGGATTTTTTATAAGAAGTAATCATAATCTTAGTAGCTTATATCTGATCCTAGGCAACCCACCTTCCTAATTTTAATTTGCATAAAGTTTTTTTGCTGGATTTGGAGACAGCTCCTGCCTCACGTCAGTAAAAACACATTTCTCACTTACCGTGTGTTACTCTTCCTTGCAAGACCACCCATTCCTCTTCATAGCTGACATTGTAGCTGAAGCCTCACTGAAAATCAAGACAAAGCCATTACTATAAAGCAAAATTGCACATCGCATGCAAAACAAGGTATCGGACTCACAGTACCTGCCACATAAACAAATATCAGAAGTCAAAAGCCTAAGAGTAATAAAAAAGGCATTTTGAATCGTACTCGTCAAAAAATTCTCTGCTCGTGAAAACACAGTTTACAACACACACCTATCAACCAACGCTCTCAAATGTTATGATATGGGTTGCAGCAACAACACCATTTTTTAGGACCAGCCTAGAATTTTCTTTAAAAAAATTCTGCAGCAAGTGTGCGAATGTGGGTACTTATGTGAATGCAAACGCGTGCGAGCATGCTCGTGTGTGTGCGTGCGCGCGCGCGTGCAGTGCAATACAACACTAGACTCACGTTGATTGACATGAACACGTTTTTTTCAAACAGATTGATGAGTAATGGATAGCTGGAAATGTCAGCTGAGGCACAGAAACATGGATAGGAACAACCATACGTGCCGTGAACCATCTCAACCTAACTAGGGTTTCACACACACACAAAAACTTTAAACTAATGACACATGTAGATGGGGTATTATTGACTGGGTTACGCGGCTGCCTGGCATACGTAGAGGTCAATAAACCACGAGCAAGATTTTAAACGATCCCGTGACGTCTAGACGGTGTGGCTGTGAATTTCAATTTGCAGAAACCATTCAAGCTTTTAATAGCGATAATAACTAACACTCGTGGTACCTAGCCTCTTCTATTACCCTTGTTTAATTAGTTTAACATGATAAAGGATACACATTGCGGCTATATCATCCGAATTTCATTTATATGACATCATAAACCCATATATATCCGTTTTGTGTCGTTAACCTTATGCACCGCGCTGTACAAATATGTACACATATCTGCGTATATTTAAACTTGCACATACTCAGTGTTGGAAACAGCAGCACGCCTTTCCCCACGCCCAGCACTGGCAATTTTTAAGCAGGACTCGCTATAGCTTTTTGTAGATTTTTACTATATAGGTTCCATAGTAAAAATAATAAATTTCGAAATCAGGACTGGATGGGGTTTCAGACTTATTACCCAGCCTGCCAAACTGCATTCAGTCTATTTTCACCCACAGCATTAGCAAGTAGCTACTGTGGTTATTGATTTATAGATGTTGATACAAATGATTCAATATAATGATAAGTACGTCAATTCTATCTATGTGTGTACAGTGTGGCCATATAGAGGTAGGAACAAGGTAGACGGTCTGTAAACATCATTTTATTTTGATCTCTACACAAGCGCATGCACGCTTTTACTAATAAGTACCCCGAAAAGGTTTCACTGTTTGTAGTTGTGGTCGTTGTTGTCATTGTTGTTGTTGTTGTTGTTGCTGCTGTTATTTGTGTTGTTGTTGTTGGTGGTGGTGGTGGTAGTAGTGTTGGTGGTGGTGGTGGTAGTGTTGGTGGTGGTGGTAGTGCTATTATTATTGTTGTTGTTGTTGTTGTTGTTGTTACTGCTACTGCTGCTGTTGTTGTTGTTGTTGTTGTCTTGTCTCTTTCTTCTCTTCAGTTTAACGCGCAGTGGTCACAATTTTAAGACTATATTGCCTCATAACTCGGAGTACATCACTACTGATACATGTTTTTTGGTCATCACCATCATCAACCAGTATTTACTGTCCAGTGATACGTCACCAACACTCGTGCACCTGCTTGCCACCAGCACACGCTCTTGGCGATTGACGCCCACAATAATGAATAAAATACGTACACAACACGAGTACTAGAGCTTACCTAGGCTATCTCGCCGATCAATAACGAACCTGTAACTTGGAAGCTGCCAGGTGGGGTGACTCACTGAGATAAACACATACACACATATGCCAACTACTGCGCAAAACGTCGTGTTGTTCGTGAGAGAAAGCACGCGTGAAGGGTTTACAAACACACCGCGCACGCACGCACGCACGCGCGCACGTATTCGGCAATCGCCGTGCACAGGCGAGGTTAGGTCGACTCACACTTGCACGGGTCGTGGCCGACAGACGAACGATTCCATCATTGTTACGAAGCGGCGGCGGCGGAGGCACACTCGCCGTAATCACACATCATCCTTACACACGCCTTAGTTGCTCCCACGCATACATGCGGGGAGACCGCGCGCACGCACACGTAAACACACACACGGACGCTGGTGGCAAGTAGACACCGCGAAGGCAACCTCACTGAAGCTAATTTCACTGAAGCCAATCCCAATCGCGGCGACGAGCCAACGCGAAATGTAAAGACAGTAGTCTCAGTCGCAGGCCAACACCCGCACGCACGCACGCACACGTAGACACGACCACCGCTGTTACCGTGCGCGAGTGAGTCTGTGTGAGAAACAGCACGGTCACGCGTCAGAGAGCCGCCGAGCCACTAGCCAAGCAGCGCAGCCAATGCAAAGCAAGCAAAGCGACAACAGCAGCAGCAGCAGCCGCCGCCATGTGCATTCCTCCACTTTCACTGCTACCCTGCGAAGCGGGGTTCGTCGTTCCCTCGCACCAGCGCGATCGACGCGGCGCGCGGCGCGCAGGGTGAGGGAATTTTACTCGTACCCTGTGTGTGCAACGACACCCACACGGGCGCGCCTCCTGAGAAGCAGCCACTGAGCTGTACATATAATGAAGTAGGGGGTATTATTATATGTTATTATTATGTAATAATTATTCAAAACGGATTATATAATAATAGAATGAATGTTATTATATGCAGCTCGATGAAAGCAGCTAGCTCTCTCACACCGGATCGGCATGGTGGGTGGGGTGCGGATGGGTGGGGCGAGAACTACCTAACCCAGTAGTTCTTAACCTTTTTTGAGTCATGGACCACTTTGAGAATTTGGTGAAATCTACGGACCCCCTCCCCAGAAAAAAAATGCACACGAGCACATAAACACGCAATTTTGCATGCGCCTGGTTCACGGGCCCCCTGAAGCCCATCCACGGACCCCAGAGGTCGGTCCATCGACCACAGGTTACGAACCCCTGACCTAACCCGTGCCCTCTCGTAGCTACGCAAACACTCTCTCCGGAAGACTTCACGCCCACTACTCTATCTGTTCGATGCAGATTCACATCGATACTACCTTGATACTACCTTGATACACTCCTGATACTACACATATGCGAAGACAACGATAACGCAGACCATGCTAAAAAAATTGACAAGGTCAGAAACAATAACACAAAAATAACTCGGTGTCTTAATTGATCTCAGGCTCTGCTAGACGTTATTCAATAATCACTAGTGCAGTTCCATTTAAAACACCCCCACGTTTCCGTGAACCTACACAGTGTGTAGCACGCGCTTTGTTAGAAACAATATATAATCAGGAGCTAATAATGACTGACAGGTCATTATTAGCTCCTGATATAATGTAACCCAACAAGAGTAGCCCTACTCTTGTTGGGTAATACATTATTGTATCTAGCGCTTTGCGTACTATCACTTCAGCTTCAGGCTTGCAACCAGCTACATGTATAGTAAGTAGTGCGTGTGACATACAACTAGTGTTGACTACGTAAGCGTTACTAGTAAACGAGTAAGCCGTCAAGATGGTACCTTCTCAACGCGACCCATGCTGAAGGGGTCGTTGTCGTATATGTAGTACCTGAGGTGTCGGCGAGTATGTCGCCTACGCCTACTCCCTAACCCTAACCCTAACACCCTAACCCTAACACCCTAACTCTAACCCTAACAAATAGTTACCTCGGGTACATATTATACGACAACGACCCTTCGTGGTCCACTAACGCCGTAGCACCTAGTAAACACAAACATTGCACTGAAATGCATAAATTCGTCACTGTGGCAAACAGGCCCCCCATTCCCTGGTGCTCTCGGGTGACATATTATCAGAGTTTTTTATTATAACGTCTCATCGCGACGTGTAACCACTACGTACAGTAGTAATATCAGAAGTTTATAATATCAAGAGTCCATAATATTAATAGCAAATTTCTATTTACAGTAAACTCTCTAGGAAATTTTCTAATTGTGGACTCCTGATACTAGTATAGATCTATCTATAGATATACTGTATCTATATTCCCAAGAGTAGATAATAACACATGTGTTATGATCTACTCTTGATAATATATACACTCCTGATTATGATTATTATATTATATATTATAATATATATATATATAGTCTATATTATACACTCCTGGTAATATCACATTTTGTTTCTATTACAACGGCTCACAGCATAGTAATATCGCAGCTCCACCACAATACTGAAGCCCGCATGGATACAGGCCTGCATAGGGTAGAGACGTGGTCATTAGACATGGGGGGCCAGTATATTGTACATGCACACACATGCCTAGCTAGCCATCTCAAGCGGGCGCTCTATTCTCAGCCAATCTCAGGTCCATCTCGCTGGTCAATATTTGTACCCGGCCAGCTGTTTCCCCTTACTGAGCGCTCGCAACCAAAACATGACATTTCCATTTCCGTGCTATCTCGAGAATGTGATGGAAAGTGTTGGAATATCATGAAAATGTAAAAAAAAGAAAGTTCCATCGAGGTCCAGTGCTTTGTGTAAGTATGCCCAGAATGAAACAGCTTTAGTTAGCATGGGTTGTTTGGAATGAGCGAAATGAACCCAGAACAAAGAACGAATGCTAATTACTAAACAATATTATGGTGTGTGTGTGCGCGCACAGTCCCCCGCCCACTGTACGTGCGTGCGTGCGTGTGAGTGAGTGAGCGCGTGCGTGTGCGCATGTGTGTGTGATAGATTTAACAATTTTGTCAAAAGTAACACAGACCAGTGAGTGAGTGCCATTACTGACATCGGTAATTTGGTCTCAGAATTTCATGGAATTGGTTGAGCTTGCATCGGGAATGGCACGACACATACACAGACCATGTCACAGAACCAAATGCACATCATACGCTCTTGGGGTTATCAGAGGTGTAATAACACCCTGACAACAAATGGCTGCTCTCGTAACAAGTGTTACGCAAACTATGAAACCCCGAGCCTAGAAGGTTGTTTGTGGCATTACCTAAAATGCAACATATCACCCACAACCAACCCCTACCCTAATAATTGTGTTTATACTCGCACGTTCTCACACTGTATACATATACATATGCCGTAGGTCACGCCATTTTTTTTGAACAAGATAGGCAGACAGACGTACGCGGATGATAACAACACTAGCCACTCGAACACCGTGTACGTTGCAACGTCACAATGTTGCGGAGCAGATATATTCTGACACCGCGCGTCATAACACAGTACGAGTGCAAACGAGGGAAAATAGACACAACACACTATTCCGTTGCACAGGGGCCTCACCCTTGGCTACGTACACTACCCTCCGATAATGTCCCAGTGCACATATCAGCAGCCACTTGCCAGACATATCCATCCATCCTCTACTGACCTACATTGCTGCTGATGCTACTGCTGCTGCCGCTGCTGCTACTACGGACGCTGAGTAAGAGTGCCTGGGAGGAGGAGCCGCCTATTTCGCATTCACTGCACTGCTTGCTACTTACTGCTACCCCCTCCCATCTCCTCCTCACTTTGATACCAACAACAGCCGTGAAGGAAGCGTCGTGCTTGCGAGAACAAGACGCCATCAATATCTCTACATAATACCAGGAGCGTATAAAGAAGACCTTCTTTATACGCTCTTGATAATATCTGCTTACGCGCGCCGAACATGCGCATAACACACGCGCCGAACATGCATGCATCCACGGCTTATTCCACGCGCAGTGATGTATACAAAGCCACGAACAAAAAGGATAAGACTAGCCACGGGCATCTACTGCTAACTCGACTTATTCCGGACACTAATAACTAAGGATACGGGGTAGGGGGAAAGGTAGCAGAATTAGTCTGCACACAATATGGCGTGCGTGAGAGACACTAAGTCTAACACGAGCACTGTACGTCGTGCGTAACCTAACCTGAAGAAGCCTGTTAATTAAAGAAAGCTGCTCTCTCTCTCTCTCTCTCGCTCTCGCTCTCGCTCTCGCTCTCGCTCTCGCTCGCGCTCGCGCTCGCTCTCGCTCTCTCTCTCTCTCTCTCGCTCTCGCTCTCGCTCTCGCTCTCGCTCGCGCTCGCGCTCGCGCTCGCTCTCGCTCTCTCTCTCTCGCTCTCGCTCTCGCTCTCGCTCTCGCTCTCGATTTCTCTCTCCCTCGCTCTCCCTCTCGCTCTCTCTCTTCATTCACGCTCGCGGACCGAAAATGTCCAATATGAGTACACACGTACATACAGATACATGCGTGCACTATGGCTGCGGGTAGAATATCTGGCGATGTGATTATAGAAATCAGAGGCTGTGAATCAGAGTATTGTCACAGTGACCACCCACTCGCATAGTCTGTCGGTACCTCAACCCAATAAGAACATTTTTCTCCAAAATGACGTGTCAGCATGCAGTAATAAATCCCTTAGTTATATATTTACCGCATTTCTCTATTCAAACTATCATATTCATTATTACTGTGTGAAAATTTATACAGTGTTAAACTAACAGTTGTACATCATGATAGCAAGCTAGCCGCAACTTACATCTCTTCATAGCCACTAAATTTGTAAATTCACATCCAAATCAAGTGAATTTGAGTATGTATCACTTAAAATCTACTTTAGTTTTCTTATATAATAGATAACTATTAAACACAGTATGTTATTGATTGAATATACAGTTTCCAAGCAAAGCGAAAGTATATACGTATGGCAAAACATACTAACAGTGACGTAACAGTTTCCTTACTTTCTCTGATACTTTTTTTTAGCCTAGAACACTTTTAGACAGGGCCGCTGATGCTTGGCCCAGTTTCTAAATATATAAGACTTTCTATTAACGGTTCAGACGTACTTTTTAAGTTAGTTTCCGGTGGCACTAACAGCTTGGCATCAAGACAGTTTGGTTAGCAATGTTTGTACAGGGGGTTACTGAGCCACTGCGCGCGGGCGCGTGTGTGTAGACTTTACTGTCTACGTTCCACATGCCCCGGCACGCGCCACGCATTTGCGAAGCGGAGAACGTAAAGATATTCTCCCGGCGAAACCACATCGCAAACTATACGCAGGTTTCCCTATAGTAGATGGGGGAATACAGTGGCACGTTATGATGTATTATTGATACACGTTAGGAGACCCTGTCCTTTACTGAACACGATTGACTATAAAACAGATATTATATATATATATGAAACCAAGAGTGCACAGTGTCCGTTCAGAAACGACAGAGATTACATCAGGAGAGAATAATAATAGATTATTATATATAATATTATTATTCAGTCCTGATTACATGACTGCAACTGTGCGTTGCCTCTTGCGTGCAAGCGCGTACAGGAAGAAAATGGAATCAAAACTATAATGATATCAATAGGAAACTGTCATCGCAAACATCTAGCGTTGGGCAGTGCCAGGCACTGCTTGTACGCAATCAT